AAAAGGGGGTGTGATAAAAGAGAAAAAGGTGCTTATGAGGGTTTTTACAATAGTCGAAGTGTTATAAGAGAGCAGTGTATATGAGAGGAGTAAAAGAAAGGTGAAGAGAGAGTGGTTAGAGTAGAGAGTGCAACAAAGGGAGAGCAGATGAAAGAGGGTGGGAGAGGCACTTCCAAGAAATTTTAATGAAAATAAGGAAAAAATTTGGAAGTGAGTTAAACAATGTTAAAGAAAGCCTAGGGAAAGGATGGATGGATTTGTCAGTTAAAAAAACAGAGTAGGGGAGTTAGTAGATGGGGGAGTGGAGGTATTAGGTAGATGGCGAGACTATTGTGTGGAAATTTTAAATGTTAAGGAAGAAAAGGGAGGCGGTTGGTAATTTCTTGCATTGGGCCAGGAGGTTTTACATCTTTTAGGAGTGAAGAAGTGCAGATGTTAAGTGTGGTGGTGGTACGTGAGGCATTTCTAGAATGAAAGGGGTTTGTTTTTAAAGCAGCTGGAACTTGATGGGATCATGACTGAAATGTTTAAAAGCAGGGGGGGATATAGTGTTGGAGTGGTGTACTTTTGTTTAATAAATGTATATGAAAAGAGGGGGAAGGTACCTAGGGATTGGCGAGCGAGAATTGTATTAAGTCCGTTTATATAAAGGGAATGGGGGACAAAGAGATTGTTAAAAATTATAGAGACATAAGTTTACTGAAGTATACAGGAAAAGTATTACGGTAGGGTTATAATTGAAAGAATTAGAGGTAAGCAGAATGTAGAATTGCGGACGTGCAAGGAGGCTTCAGAGTGGGTAGGGGATGTAGTAGATCAATGTTTACATTGTTGCATATTGTGACAGTATTTAGATAAAGGTAGGGGAAGTTTTTATTCCATTTATGGATTTAGAAAAGGCATATGATCGAGTGGATAGAGGAGCAATGTGGCAGATGTTGCAAGGATATGGATAGGTGGTAAAGTTACGAAATGCTGTAAAGAGCCTTTGATGAGGATAGTGAGGCTCAGGTTAGGGGAGTGTTTAGAAGAGAGTGGGAGAATACTTCCCGGTTAAAAGTAGGTCTTGACAGGGGGAGTGTAATGTCACCATGGTTGTTTAATATATTTATAGATGGGGTTGTTTACAAATGAAGTAAATGCTGGGTGTTTGGGAGAGGGGGTGGTATTAAATTCTGGGGATTCAAATTCAAAGTGGGAATTGACACAGTTACTTTATGCTGGATGATACTGTGCTTATGGGAGATTTCTAAAGTAAACATTACAAAGGTTAGTGGTGAGTTTGAGAATGTGTGAAAAGGTAGAACGTTGAAAGTGACATAGAAAAGAGTAAGGTGATGAGGGGTATCAAATGATTTAGATAAAGAAAAATTTTGGAGATCAAAATTGGGGAGGAGAGGTAGTATGGAAGAAGTGAATGTTTTTCAGATACGTGGAGTTGAGTTGTCGGGGGATGGATTTCTGAGGATGAGGTTAATCATTAGAATTGATGAGGAAAAAAAGGTGAGTGGTGCGTTGAGGTATATGTGGAGTAAAAAACGTTTATCTATGGAGGCAAAGAAGGGAATGTATGAAAGTATAGTAGTACCAACACTCTTATATGGATGTGAAGCTTGGGTGGTAAATGCAGCAGAGAGGAGACGGTTGGGGCAGTGGAGATGTCCTGTCTAAGGGCAATGTGTGGTGTAAATATTATGCAGAAAATTCGGAGTGTGGAAATTAGGAGAAGGTGTGGAGTTAATAAAAGCATTAGTCAGAGGGCAGAAGAGGGGTTGTTGAGGTGGTTTGGTCATTTAGAAAAGAATGGATCAAAGTAGAATGACATGGAAAGCATATAAATCTATAGGGGAAGGAAAGAGGGGTAGGGGTCGTCCTCGAAAGGGTTGGAAAGAGGGGGTAAAGGAGGTTTTGTGGGTGAGGGGCTTGGACTTCCAGCAAGCGTGCATGAGCGTGTTAGATAGGAGTGAATGGAGACGAATGATACTTGGGACCTGACGATCTGTTGGAGTGTGAGCAGGGTAATATTTAGTGAAGGGATTCAGGGAAAACCGGTTATTTTCATATAGTCGGACTTGAGTCCTGGAAATGGAAGTACAATGCCTGCACTTTAAAGGAGGGGTTTGGGATATTGGCGGTTTGGAGGGATATGTTGTGTATCTCTATACGTATATGCTTCTAAACTGTTGTATTCTGAGCACCTCTGCAAAAGCAGTGATAATGTGTGAGTGTGGTGAAAGTGTTGAATGATGATGAAAGTATTTTCTTTTTGGGATTTCTTTCTTTTTTTTTTTTGGGTCACCCTGCCTCGGTGGGAGACGGCCGACTTGTTGAAAAAAAAAAAAAAAAAAAAAAAAAAAAAAAAAAAAAAAAAAAACCAAAGGTTGATCAACTGCTCCTGGAGAGGATGGTATAACCTATGATATTCTCAGAACTCTAAGGCACGTGCCTGATAACCCTTTGTTGGCACTGTATAATCTCAGTTACATTGAGGGCGTTCTTCCTACTTCCTGACCAATAGTCTCATTGTGCCTATCCCTAAGCCCCCAACAGCCTGATACATTTAGGCCGATCTCTTAACTAGTTGTCTTTGCAAAACTTTTGAAAGAATGATGCTTAACAGATGTACTACAGAATCAGACATCAACTTTCCCCTACCTTATGGGTTCATGAAAGGTAAAAGTGTGCAGAACTGTATTTCCACCTTTCTCACTGCACACACCTCTACTAGTTTTACCACTTTTCTTGATCTAAAATCTGCATTTGATATTGCAAACAGAACCGTTATACTACATGAACTAGCCAAAATGAATATTGGTGGTAGCTTACTCTGCTGGATAATAGGATACCTGTCAAATAGAGTATCCTCTGTCCTTTACCAAGGCTTCAGAAGTGATTCTAAAGAAATGTCTTTAGGTACACCGCAGGGAGGAGTTCTTAGTCCCATGCTATTTAATATTCTGATTAATGCTCTCCTAAATGCTCTACCTGCCTCACCTAAACATATAGCTATAAGCTATGCTGATGATATCATGATCCATACAACAGGGCATAAGAAGATGAATACCATTCTTAATGAAGTTCAAGCAATTTGTAATCGACTAGGCCTCATAATATCTTCCTCTAAAACAAAGATATTAACAAGCAAACGACATCCCCCACCCATCTATTTGCAGGGTGAAATCATTAGCTACGTTAAAACTTACAGATATCTTGGTGTACCCTTTAACAAATTCACTATACCACAACTAAACAAGAAATGTAAAGCTAGGCTAAATGCTCTCAAAGCTGTTGCTGGCTACAATCCCAACTATGGTGCTAATGTGAGAAATCGTGAGAATGATGTACATAGCCTATGTTAGGTCCTTAATTGATTATGCTGCTCCCATGTTGATATTAGCTAGAGAAAGTTCCCTCCGACCCTTGGAGTTAATGCAAAATGAAGCTCTCAGGACTATTCTTGGCTGTCCCAGATCTACAAAAGTTCTTAACATGAGGAAGGAGCTTGGTATTTCTAGTATCAGTGATAGGATTGTTCAAATTAACACTGTACTCGGTATTAGAATGTTGAGAAACGAACCAGACACTGTCACAGTGAATCTTACCAAGTGTCTAGAGGTAAATACACACAGATCTAAATGGATTGTGAAAACGTGCAATTGCATTAAGTTTTTATAACCTGCATGAACTGTATCACTGTAGGCAACAAGAGCATTTCACCCCTCCATGGAAGATGTGTTCATTTAATATCACATACCTACAAGTCCCTCCCAAGAAGCTCATTGCTAGTAATCCCTTTCTTAAATCTCTTGTTAGAGCAACTGCTCAAGAAGAAATTTTTTTGCCTAGCTGGTAGTAATAAGTTATCACAAGTTATATACACTGATGGATCTAAACAGGAGTCCTTCTGGCAGGGCTGCATCTGCTCTTGTTGCCACCTCCCTAGTTAAGAACGATAATAAATTTGCTGAGTTAGGCATAAGAATTAACAACTGGGCATCTACACTGCAAACTGAATTGTTTGCAATCCTAATGGCGCTAAAGCTAACCTATGACACTGAGCTTGACTCTGTCATCATTACTGATTCTATGTCATCATTGAAGGCTCTTGGCTCATATAATGACTCCAACAACATGCTCATTGGGGAAGCCAGGTATAGATACTCAAAAATTAGGGACAAAGGAATTAATGTACAATTGCTATGGATCCATCATACATTGGATTACTCCTTATGATAAAGTTGATATGTTAGCCAAGAAGAGTATCCAGAAGGAGAACGTAGAATATAACTTTGGTATAACTGTGGGTTTTAGCATTAGGAATAATATTAGGAGAGAAGTAAATAATGAAGATGATTTGTTATAGGAATGCAGTTAGAAGCTGAGTAGATCTATAACCACTATGATAACATGAACGTAGATAAGTATGTTTATGGAGCAACTTCCAATGTGAACAGGACTGACTGATGTTGTAGTGGCCAGGCTTAGGCTTGGTTACAAGTACTTCTGGCAGTTTGGGAGACACACAGATGATGATCAAACTAAATGTTTAAAATTTTGTGATCAGGCATATGGTCACTCTCTTGAACACTATGTGCTTAATTGTCCACTTATTGAGGAATACAGAGACAGACAGTATTATAACCTATGTGACATGTCAAGATATCTTATTAATGAAAATAAGATACCAGATATACTAAGCAAATTTCCTAAATTTGCTTGTAACAGATAAGTGAACTATAGATATGTAGATATAAATCCATATGTATTCCTGTTAACCCTTTGGGGCCTAGTTCCTAGGCCTTTTATGTATCCACATGCTCTCGCGCTACCGTCCACAGGATGGATATGGGGTGCACAATAAACTAGCCACTTCGGTGGCAAAATCTAAATCTGGTAAAAAGGGTGAGAATTAGTATGGAAATTAAGAAAGAACAGAAAAAGAACAGAAGAAAAATTAAATAAAATAAATAATAAACACTACAATTGTACAGCATACTTACAGTTTATTTTTACCAGTGGAAACATCAACTTTTTGCTTCTCAGTTTGTGAGGACTTAAAGAGAGTTTTAAATGGTTTCAGTAGTTCATCAGCTCTTTTAAAGTCTTCGAACATACCTCTTAACTCTGAAAGTATCAATGCTTTTCAAGAGCAAGAAAAGTAATAGACCCATTAGTTGCAAATTCATTCAACTGCTAGTGCACTCAGCCCACACACTGAGGTCCATGGTTTGATCCCCAGTACACATGGAAACACTGAGTGTGTTTCCTTAAGACACCTGCTGTTCCTATCACTAAAATAAGTACCTAGGTGTTAGTCAACTGGTGTGGATTGCATCCTGGGGACAAAATTGACCTAATTTGCCTGAAATGCTCTACATAACAAGGGGCTTTCTATATATAGTAGTATGTCACTGATGTCAGCTAGGCTTGTAGACACTGTACGTGCACTTGTAGAAATAAAGATTATTATTATTATTATTTAAATTTCTCAATAAAACTAAAATATATAAACTGTTCACAGTCTTTGAAGACATTATTCCTGAGTTTTGAAATTTTTTTCTTCATAAATGACTAAATGCACAACTAATATTATGTTACAAAACATGCACTAAACCTGTATGGGTCATACAGCTGCACAATAAAAAGCAGCAATACTGCCACTGCTGTAGCCAGATCATTATCTCTGCTACATGAACACCATCTCAAGTTCACAGATGGTATTTATCATACTTAGCATTATTTCTTTTGATTTACCTTAATTTTATGAGTACAGTGGAACCTTGGATTTCGTCTGGTGAGGATATCGCACAATTCGGATTTTGACCACTTTTTTGGGCGAAAATTTACCCCAAGTTTCATACCTCCACTCGGAAATCGTCTGTATGACGCGTCCGCCCACCTGGGATGCGGCTGCTCACACGCACGTGACTCAGTCTTCCTCTGTCACTTGTTCAGCAAGCAACATTCCGCGCGTTCATCCAAAACATTTCGTAGTGATCCATTGCTTTTTGTGCTTGTTTATTGAGTTTGACTGCAAAATAAGCCACCATGGGGCCAAAGAAAGTTGGAGAAAATTGGGCCAGAATGTGCCCTCGAGAAGGATTTTGAAGGGTTTGCGGCTGACCCTGATGACCCTATGCCTATTGTGGAATGTACGTACTGTGTCTTTGAGGAAGTCCATGGGGTTGGATGTGAATGGCCAGGATGTGGAAGAGTTGGTGGAGGATCACAGGGAAGAGCTAACCATTGAAGAGCTGCAAGACCTTCAACTGGAACAACAACAGATCGCAGCTGAGGAAATTGCTTCAGAGAAGGAGGAAGAGAGTGGAGAAAATGTGCCTTCTTCGGTGATTAAGGGCATTTGTGCAAAGCGGAGTGAGGTGCAAAGTTTTGTGGAGAATTATCACCCTAACAAAACTGTTGCAAGCTGTGTCTGCAACATGTTCAATGACAATGCCTTGTCCCATTTTAGGCAAATCTTAAAGAGACACCAGAAACAGCTCTCTGGACAGATTTTTTGTGCAACAGGGGTCGTGACTCTTAAGCTGGTCCTAGTGCCAGTAAAAGACAAAGAAGGGAAGTAATCCCGGAGAGGGCTTTGATACCTGAAGTCCTTTTGGATGGGATTCCCCTTCCAAACAATAACCTCGCCTCCCTCTACCCTCCTCGCCTTCTTCCATATGCCAACAAGAGTCTTTCAATAAAGGTATGTAATAGTGATTTAAATGTTAATTTACCCATTAAAGTTAGTCATTTATATTTATTTCTCATTGTTTTCTGTATGTAAAACTATATTCTCTATAAAATGTATTTTTTGTTAATATTTTTGGGTGTCTGGAACAGAGTAATTGGATTTACATTATTTCTTAAGGGAAATATTACTTCAGTTTTCAGTCATTTTGGATTTCGACTGACCTTCTGGAACGGAGTAAGGGCGAAAACCGGGGTTCCACTGTAGTCAATTAAGTAACAAATTCCAGCCTAATATGAGTAATATCCTACTTTAATGCAACAATACGGTTTGTCATTGCCTTCCTGTTTCTTTTCTAACTACAGATAAGCTTACTTAATGACCTTCTAGTGTTGAATGACCCATATGAGTTTAGTGGTTTTTTTTGTGTGAATATACAGCAATACTGATTGGTTACCTTTCTCACTTGGCAGTGGAGAAGCCTTCACCCTATTTTTTTCTGAAAGGATTAAAAGAAAATATGGAATTGTTTCAATCACTGAACAAATATAGTTACATTCTAAACCATAATGGAACTGGCACCTTAACCTGATGATAGAGTTCCTTTGATTTACCTTAATTTCATAGTCAATTCAGTAACTAATTCCAGCCTAATATGAGTAATATACTACTTCAATGAAACAATAAGGCTTGTCATCTTATATTTTCACAAGAAAATAAACAATTAATATAAGATAATGTCTTAAAATATTAAGCCTATTGCAGTTTTTGACAATGAAAATACTGTATTGCCTTACTATTTCCTTTCTAACTGAAGATAAGCTTACTTATTTTCTAGTGCTAAATGACCCATATGGGTTAAGCATTTTTTTGTGAGTGTGAATATACAGCAATAACAATTTGTTACCTTTTACACTTGGTGGTGAAGGAGGCACCTGCTTTAATTCATCTGCAGGGATTATAAGAAAATAAAGAATTATGTTTCAATCCCTGAACAAAATATGGTTACATCCTAATGTCTAAACCATAACAGGAAATGTAACCTTAAGAACCAGTTCCAAAAGGTAATTAACTGATGATGGAGGTATGTATATAAAGGTATGTAATAGTGATTTAAATGTTAATTTACCCATTAAAGTTAGTCATTTATATTTATTTCTCATTGTTTTCTGTATGTAAAACTATATTCTCTATAAAATGTATTTTTTGTTAATATTTTTGGGTGTCTGGAACAGAGTAATTGGATTTACATTATTTCTTAAGGGAAATATTACTTCAGTTTTCAGTCATTTTGGATTTCGACTGACCTTCTGGAACGGAGTAAGGGCGAAAACCGGGGTTCCACTGTAGTCAATTAAGTAACAAATTCCAGCCTAATATGAGTAATATCCTACTTTAATGCAACAATACGGTTTGTCATTGCCTTCCTGTTTCTTTTCTAACTACAGATAAGCTTACTTAATGACCTTCTAGTGTTGAATGACCCATATGAGTTTAGTGGGTTTTTTTTTTGTGTGAATATACAGCAATACTGATTGGTTACCTTTCTCACTTGGCAGTGGAGAAGCCTTCACCCTATTTTTTTCTGAAAGGATTAAAAGAAAATATGGAATTGTTTCAATCACTGAACAAAATATAGTTACATTCTAAACCATAAGTGGAACTGGCACCTTAACCTGATGATAGAGTTCCTTTGATTTACCTTAATTTCATAGTCAATTCAGTAACTAATTCCAGCCTAATATGAGTAATATACTACTTCAATGAAACAATAAGGCTTGTCATCTTATATTTTCACAAGAAAATAAACAATTAATATAAGATAATGTCTTAAAATATTAAGCCTATTGCAGTTTTTGACAATGAAAATACTGTATTGCCTTACTATTTCCTTTCTAACTGAAGATAAGCTTACTTATTTTCTAGTGCTAAATGACCCATATGGGTTAAGCATTTTTTTGTGAGTGTGAATATACAGCAATAACAATTTGTTACCTTTTACACTTGGTGGTGAAGGAGGCACCTGCTTTAATTCATCTGCAGGGATTATAAGAAAATAAAGAATTATGTTTCAATCCCTGAACAAAATATGGTTACATCCTAATGTCTAAACCATAACAGGAAATGTAACCTTAAGAACCAGTTCCAAAAGGTAATTAACTGATGATGGAGTGATCAAAAGTAAGGTTTAGGACAAAAACATTTATACTGTACACTGTGACCTATATCTGTCCATAATACAGATTATCAATGAATTTAAGCAAAAAGTTGTAAGCCAAAGATCCTTTTATGAGTCCAAGAGATTGTCCATATTCAACACAGAATGAGGATTTTCACAAAAATTTTAACAGTATCATTTGTATTCTAACCCAACGAAAATGGAGTGAAGTTAAAAGACTATTTTTCAAGACCCACCTGTCCTTTTCTTTGGTTGCTTCTGTGAAATTTTCTTTTGCTTTTTTGTATCCATGATCTGTAAGCATAATAGAACAAAATATATTACTTGTACATTACTTGTATACCTGGAGAGAGTTCCTGGGATCAAAGCCCCCGTGGCTCGATCTGTGACCAGGCCTCATGGTGGATCAAGGCCTGATCAAGCAGGCTGTTACTGCTACTGAACTTGCACACGAAAATCACTCATTACGAAAGCAAAAGACTTGGCAGACGATGCACCATCCCCCCAATGAAAAGCAGGGGTGTCACTAGCACGTTAAGAGACCATACAATAAGTGTCAGGGGCCCGAGACTGTTCAACTGCCTCCCAGCACACATAAGGGGGATTACCAACAGACCCCTGGCAGTCTTCAAGCTGGCACTGGACAAGCACCTAAAGTCAGTTCCGGATCAGCCGGGCTGTGGCTCGTATGTTGGTTTGCGTGCAGCCAGCAGCAACAGCCTGGTTGATCAGGCTGATCCACCAGGAGGCCTGGTCTCAGACCGGGCCGCGGGGGCGTTGACCCCCGGAACTCTCTCCAGGTAAACTCCAGGCAAACTGGTGCGCAGTCCAGCATACGACCCACAGCCTTGCTGGTCAGGTACTAACTTTAGGTGCCTGCTTGAAGACAGCCAGGGGTCTATTGGTAATACCCCTGATGTATGTTGGGAGGCAGTGGAACAGTCGTGGGCCCCTCACACTTATTATGCTGTCTCTTATCGTGCTGGTGGCACCCCTGCTTTTCATGGGGGGATGTTGCACCGTCTGCCGTGTATTTTGCTTTCGGAGGGAGTGATTTTCATGTGCAAGTTTGGTACTAGTCCCTCTAGGATTTTCCAGGTGTATATATTCATGTATCTCTCCTTCCTGCATTCTAGGGAGTACAGGTTTAGGAACTTCAAGCGTTTTCAGTAATTGAGGTGTTTTATCTCTGTTATGCATGTCGTGAAGGTTCTCTGTACATTTTCTAGTTCAGCAATTTCACCTGCCTTGAAAGGTGGTTAGTGTGCAGCAATGTTCCAGCCTAGACAGAACAAGCGACCTGAAGTGTCATTATGGGCCTGGCATCCTTAATTATGAAGGTTCTCATTATCCATCTTGTTATTTTTCAAGCAGATGCGACTGATACTCTGTTATGGTCTTTGAAGGTGAGATCTTCTGACATGATCACTCCCAAGTCTTTGACATTAGTTTTTCGCTCTATTGTGTGGTTGGAATTTGTTTTATATTCCGATGAAGTTTTAAGTTACTCACATTTTCCATATTGGAGTAATTGAAATTCCTCATCATTGAACTTCATAGTGAAAGGTAACAAGATTAAATTACTATATCTTCAATCATCTATAAAGTGATGCACCAGTGACTTTGAAAAGGAGATAAATGACATGCCCATGCACTCTGTCCCAGGCCCAGACTCATGGAACTCCGTGTTCATCAAGAACTGCAAGAAGCCCCTATCACATGCTTTTAACATCCTATGGAGAGTAAGCATGGACATCGGTCGTCCCACAGCTGCTAAAAACAAGACATAGCTCCACTCAACAAAGGGGGAAGAAAGCAATAGCAAAGAACTACAGACCGATAACGCTAACATCCCACATCATAAAAATCTTTGAAAGGGTTCTAAGAAGCAAAACTGCCACCCATCTAGATACTCATCATTTACACAACCCAGGGCAACATGGGTTTAAAATAGGTCACTTCTGTCTGTCCCAACTACTGAACCACTATGACAAGGTCCTAGATGATCTAAAAGATAAACAAAATGCAGATGTTGTATACATAGACTTGGCAAAAGCCTTTGACAAATGTGACCATGGTGTAATAGCACACAAAATGCGTGACAAAAGAATAACAGGGAAAGTTGGTAAATGGATCTATAATTTCCCAACAGGACACACAGTAGTAAACAGATTAAAGTCTGAGGCAGCTACGGTGAAAAGCTCTGTTCCACAAGGCACAGTACTCGCTCCCATCTTGTTCCTCATCCTCATATCCGACATAGACAAGGATGTCAGCCACAGCACCGTGTCTTCCTTTGCAGATGACACCCGAATCTGCATGACAGTGTCTTCCATTGCAGACACTGCAAGGCTCCAGGCGGACATCAACCAAATCTTTCAGTGGGCTGCAGAAAACAATATGAAGTTCAACGATGAGAAATTTCAATTACTCAGATATGGTAAACACGAGGAAATTAAATCTTCATCAGAGTACAACACAAATTCTGGCCACAAAATAGAGCGTAACACCAACGTCAAAGACCTGGGAGTGATCATGTCGGAGGATCTCACCTTCAAGGACCATAACATTGTATCAATCGCATCTGCTAGAGCAATGACAGGATGGATAATGAGAACCTTCAAAACTAGGGATGCCAAGCCCATGATGACACTCTTCAGGTCACTTGTTCTATCTAGGCTGGAATATTGCTGCACACTAACAGCACCTTTCAAGGCAGGTGAAATTGCTGACCTAGAAAATGTACAGAGAACCTTCACGGCGCGCATAACAGAGATGAAACACCTCAATTACTGGGAGCGCTTGAGGTTCCTAAAACTGTATTCCCTGAAACGCAGGAGGGAGAGATACATGATTATATACACCTGGAAAATCCTAGAGGGACTAGTACCGAACTTGCACACGAAAATCACTCACTACGAAAGCAAAAGACTTGGCAGACGATGCAACATTCCCCCAATGAAAAGCAGGGGTGTCACTAGCACGTTAAGAGACCATACAATAAGTGTCAGGGGCCCGAGACTGTTCAACTGCCTCCCAGCACACATAAGGGGGATTACCAACAGACCCCTGTCAGTCTTCAAGCTGGCACTGGACAAGCACCTAAAGTCAGTTCCTGATCAGCCGGGCTGTGGCTCGTACGTTGGTTTGCGTGCAGCCAGCAGCAACAGCCTGGTTGATCAGGCTCTGATCCACCAGGAGGCCTGGTCACAGACCGGTCCGCGAGGGCGTTGACCCCCGGAACTCTCTCCAGGTAAACTCCAGGAACAAAGATGTGGGTTTCTCTAAGCTTATGTCTAGCATCGGGTGGCAAAGTTAATACTGTAGTTTAAACACTTTCTATAATCATACAATACAAAGAATTACGTTAATGGATTCCATCAGCTATGAAATAATTTTCATAGAAAAACTGATGACTTTTTTTTTCTAAATACTCCGACTATATGCATAAATAACTGATAAAAAGGTATTTGCGGGAGAATAACTTCGTTTCGAGAAAATTGCAAAAACAAAAAAAATGTGATTAATGGCCACAATACATCATTACTAGCCGCCCAACAATGTTTGCATGTAGTCTACGAAGTACAAGCTTCAAACAGGATACTATAAAAGACCAAGAATTCTAGCAGAAAACTATATATAAGCCACGAAATTGGGAGCACAGCCGAGCAACACACCGACAGCTAAGCAAACTGATGTGCAACTGGTAGCCGAGGCGCCTGTTTCCCGCCACTCACCGTCCCTTACACTAGGATGAGATGTCATCTTTTGCTTTTTCTAAACATTCAAATAATAATAATGATAACAATCATAAAAAATGCATTTATACCCAAAACAACACTATTTGCATGACTGTGTTACTGTGATGACGTCATCGCATTTAATAAGAAAATAACGATAGAAAGACCAACTCACAAACATCTTATCAAAATATAAAAAACTTCAAAATGTTACCAGAATTATGCACTATTGTGCTGAGGGACTGAATACCTCAAACTCCCTCATTTTTCACCGTTCTTCTCTGTATTGGACTGAGGAAACCACTGGCTGGAGAAAAGTTTCTACACTTATGATTCCGAAATGTTGCACAGGTGTCCAATTCTTCGACTCGTACACTACTTTTCTTGACCTTAAACCTGTATTTAACACAGTTAATACACATATAATCACTATTGAACTTGCCAGAATGGATGTAGGTTGATGTCTTCTCAGGGAATCTGTCTCATGTCCCACCATTATTGTACAAGAGAGTGGCCCATGTCCTCTCGCATACTATCTCATTGCTTTTTAACAAGTCACTAGAAGCTAGCACCTTCCCGAAACTACTCAAGACGGCAAGGGTTACACCAATACATAAAGGTGGTGACCCTACAGATTTAAACAACTATAGGCCAATATCAAACTTACCATTGCTATCCAAAATCTTTAAAATCGTAAGGAAAAAATTTTTTAAAAAAAAAAAAACCCCAAAAAATTGGAAAAAACCGACAAAAAAGAAAAGAACAATTGCAACTTTGGACTTTTTTAAAAATTTTCGCCCCCAAGGTTTATCAAGCTTAAAAAACAAAAAATAATAAACTAAAGGGGGGTTTACGGGGAAAAAATTTTTGTTACTGTGGGGGAAGTTTATAGATAGGGATGAAAAAATAAAAATTAACAATTAACAAATTTAAAAAATTTAAAAAGTTTTTTGGGTAAAAAAAAAAATATTACTTCTAAATGAGGATTTTTTTTTTTATTTTTCACCTTTTTTTTGGATTTAAAAAGGGGGCCCTCCTCACTGTCCTCCTAAACTCCCAAAACCAAAATAACAGAAAAAAGGTTTTCCTTTTAAATTTTAAACCTTTTTTATTTCCCAAGAATAGTTTTTTTCCCTTTTAAACTCATGTCAAAATTTTTCCCAATTTTTTCGTCCTCCCTACTACTATCATTAACAGTAAACATAAATGGACCCCCAAATTCCCCTCACCCAGTTTAACCCCCCCTTTTTAGTAGGAAAGCTTAAAATTTGGGAACAAACTTTAAAAAAAGACTTTTGCATTTTTTTTTTTTTAAAAAACCCCCCCCCTTTTTAAAAAAAAAAAAACTTTTAAAAAAAAGCTAGATCTTTTTTAACACATTGGAAAAAGGAATATCCACTGGGAATTTTTACCAAGAAAATTTTACCATAACCACGGCAACCACTCCACAAAGACCCTTTTGGTAAAAATTTTTTTTTTTAAATATTTTAGTACCAAAAAAAAAAACCCCAAAAAAAACACCCTTTATGGAATAAAAAAATCGTTTGTTCCTTTTTTTACTTTGCCCACACATGGGCCCCCAATCCCGAAACCGGGGTAAGGGGGGCCCCAATTTTTTTGCCCTAACAGTAAGAAGCTGATCAATTCCCACTTGGGGGGCGGAAAAAACCAAATTTTGACCCTTTCAAAATTTTTTGTGGGAAGGATAAAATTTTTGGCAAACCCCCCTTTTTTTCCACATAAAAAGGGAAAATGGCCCCCCCAAAAATTTTAGCCCCCCCAACTACCCCAAGGGAAACCAAATGGGGTTTTTCCCGACCCACCGGCAAAAAACCCTTTCCTTCCCCCCTTATTCCTTTTGGGGACTTAAAAAACCCACTGGTGGGGAAAATCAATAAAGGCAATTATACCAAAAAATGATTTTCATTTTTTTTTCCCTTTTTCCACCCCCCCCAGGGGTTCCCTTTCCCCTGTCTCCTAATACATCAATATCTCCCAAAATATTTTAACCTAAACCCCCCCCTTTCTCGAAATTTGCAAACCCACCCAACCAACCCCAAACATTGTTTGGGTACAAAAAAATTTAAAAACCCCAAAATTAAACCCTTTAAGGAAAAACCTACAACTTTATTTTGGTAGCAGAGCGGGAAAAGCCAATTAACTTTAAGATCGCAACACTCAATTTACCGGGCATAATGAGGGCAAATTCCTAGGCCTATACCTCACAAAAAACCTGAACTTCCACCCTACCCAAACACAAACCCAAAAAAAGTATCCAAAACGGTTGGGATCCTCTCCAAGATACGATACACGTCCGAAAACGCCCTTCTCACACTATCCCTTTCACTTATATATCCATCCCTCACCTAGCTATCTTGTTTGGGGGTTCAACTGCAGCAACACCCCTAAAGCCAATAATAACCCAACAAAAAGCCGCAGTAAGAATAATCACTAAATCCCATCCCGGGCAACACCCCCCCCCCCCCCTTCATAATCAAACTTACCCCTTTTCATACATCCACACTTACTACTGGCAATCACCTACAGGACCTTAAATTCCAATATTAACCTTACCTAAACCTTTTCTTGATTTTTGTGACAGAACCCACAGGCACAACACCAGACACAAACTCCTATGACATTCCCCGTGTCCGACAAACCTTTACAAAAATTCAATGTATGTCAAAGGCCCAAAATCTGGAACCCACCTGAAAATTCCCAAAAACGCAGACACATTCATCCCTTCAAAACTACCATCAAAAACACTTATCCCCCGAACACCCTGTCAACTAATAATACGAATACCACCGGGGGTTCACATTTACACCACTCCCCCCATTTGACCAATACAGAAATATCAATCTCAATCTCAAAATAATGAACTTAACTAGTCATAAGGGGGGCCTTATACCCCAATACTGAAACATTATGTCCCAAAAACAAAAGCATTCACTTCAAACTCACAACTATATTAGTCCTTTACCATAATACCAACTTATCTCAAAATTTTTTTAAAATTTTTAAACCTAAGATTAAATTAAGTCTCCCGAAATGCCTAGCCATGCTGGGCGTTCTAGGGGTACACTGTAATTTATTATTTTACTACATGTAAACAACACAAAACCAAATTTTTAAAACTGAGCTTTGTAATACTTATAGAGAATAAAGTTTGAATTTTTGAATTTAAATTTGAATTCTCCCTGGACCAAAAAATGCATCTCCAACAAAAATCGTGCTTTCCACGACACAAAAGTTAAGATTATTAAAATCGGGTCCGGGGTTTGACATGCCTTTGGGTTTATAATAATAATTTTATTTCTACAAATACATGCACAACGCATAAGGAAAACGACATCTACTGTATAATAGCCTTTTGTTAGCAAGCTTTTCGGGAAATAAGGTAAATTTTTACCCCCGGGGAGGACCACACCAGTCGACTAACTCCCAGGTACCCATTTTACTGATGGGTGAACATAGACAACAGGTGTAAAGAAACACTCCCAGTAATATTTCTACCTTGGTTGGGAATCGAGCCCAGACTCTCTCTGTGTGAAGCGAGAGCTTTAGCCACCAGGCCACGGGGCACCGTATGATGCTATGTGTGATAATCTATGTAACTGTATGTTGCTCTGTGTGATAATCTATGTAACTATACTGCTCTGTATGATAATCTCTAACTGTATGCTGCTATGTATGATAATCTATGTAACTGTATGTTGCTCTGTATGATAATCTATGTAACTGTATGCTGCTCTGTATGATAATCTCTGTAACTGTATGCTGCTCTATATGATAATCTATGTAACTATGATGTTATGTATGATAATCTATGTAACTGTATGCTGCTATGTATGATAATCTCTGTAACTATGCTGCTATGTATGATAATCTATGTAACTGTATGCTGCTATGTATGATAATCTCTGTAACTGTATGCTGCTCTGTATGATAATCTATGTAACTGTATGTTGCTGTATATGATAATCTATGTAACTGTATGCTGCTGTATGATAATCTATGTAAGTGTATGCTGTTATGTATGATAATCTATGTAACTGTATGCTGCTATGTATGATAATCTATGTAACTGTATGCTGCTCTGTATGATAATCTATGTAACTGTATGTCGCTGTATATGATAATCTATGTAACTGTATGCTGCTATGTATGATTATCTAAGTGTATGCTGTTATGTATGATAATCTATGTAACTATATGCTGCTATGAATGATAATCTATGTAACTATTTGTGTATACCTGAATAAACTTAATGATCCTTGTGGAGTCAATAGGTTTTAAACCCCGACCAACTAACCAGCACAAAGACCTCACATCAACACTCAGCGCACCACTGAGTAAGAACTAAGAATTTCCACTCCATCAACCTGTGCAAGCTGTGAAACTGAACAGGTATCATACGAGTCAAGATGACAAGTACGAAGCGTTCTGAAGAGAACAGAATACAACACCAGCTAGAGCAGAATAGTAAAATGAACAGTTTGTTACAACAAAGAACATTTTTCTAATGCCTTTCATGGATATATTATTTTGAATTGATCAGTGTATCTCGTAGCGCCATATTTGCTTTTTCTTACCCCAAGGGCGGTACAGGTACCTCTGGTTAAGAACCAGTAGTGTAGAGTGCGAGATGGTGGTATGGGAGGATACTGGGTGTTAGTGTAAGGTAAGGGAGGGTGATGCTTAGGAGTAGGCAACGTGGCGGGCAGGAATGTTGTTTGATGTTGATCAGGTGTATGTAAGTGACTGGAAGGGGAAGGGATGGGGGAGAAGAAAGGAACTGCCTATGAGGAAATCTGGACAGGCTGCAAGCCTGGTCCGACAAATACCACCTGGAAGTTTCATCCAAGCGAATGCAAAGACATGAAGTTTGGAGAAGGACAAAGAAGACTGCCCCTATCATGTGCTTATAACATCCTATGGAGAGAGAGCATGGACACAGGGATCGTCCCACAGCTGCTAAAAA